GCTACAAGCCCAAGGTGAGTGACGTTTCTTAGGAGAGTTCTGAAGTAGGTCAGGGTGGGTATAACCCTGGGGAGGATTTGTTGGGCCTGGCTATGCCCCTAACAACCCCCTCCTCCCATATCCTGTTTTCAGTATCTCCAGCTCAAGGAGAAGCTAGAACGGGAGTTCCCTGGATGCCTGGACATTGTGAGTATTGGAATGGGGACGGAATCCCGTGGGTACCTTTTCTGTCGTTTGGGACTGGGAGGCGGTGGGGATGGATTAGGCCAGTCCTCTCCCTGGGACATGGTGGGGAGGGTATCCCTGAGAGGACATCTCAGCCCCCTCTATCTCCTTCTTTTCCTCAGTGTGGTGAGGGGACTCCCCAGGTCACTGGGTTCTTTGAAGTGACAGTAGCCGGGAAGTTGGTTCACTCCAAGAAGGTAAATCTGCACCCTGTCTTGCAGGGGGTCACATGGCTTAGGGCCTCGGTTGGTGTGTGGGGCCTAGCTCAACTTTCTCCTCTTTTCTCCTCAGAGAGGTGATGGCTATGTAGACACAGAAAGCAAGTTTCGGAAACTGGTGACCGCCATTAAAGCTGCCCTGGCTCAGTGCCAGTGAACCCTGGAGGCAGGGGTAAGGAGGCTGGCTGCTGGGAGCCGGGTGCCATCTTGGGGTGTTGTATTCTTCCCTGTGTATGGACTCTCAAGAGTGGAGAGTGGGAAGTGTGGCTGCATTCTCAAGGGTCCCTGGAGCCAGGAGGGCTAGGAATCGTACCTAAAGGGTTGCAGCGTGGTACTGAGGAGGTGATGAGGACAAGGGGCTTGCCTTAAGGGGTCTTTTTTTTTTTTTTTTTTTTTCGAGACAGGGTTTCTCTGTGTAGCTTTGGAGCCTATCCTGGCACTCGCTCTGGAGACCAGGCTGGCCTCGAACTCACCGAGAGCCACCTGCCTCTGCCTCCTGAGTGCTGGGATTAAAGGCGTGCACCACCAACGCCTGGCTTTAAGTGGCCTTGTTGATTCTGGAATGGAGGATGGTAAAGGCTTGTGGTTGAGGATGTGACAGGGCTTGCCTACCCTGTAGGGAGCTCAGACTTACAGCTTCTTTCAACACTCTGTAACTGGGTGAGTGACTGGAGTGACTTAGCCCCAGGGAAGGCACAAATGAGAACTTCCAAGGCTGAGGCAGAAGGATTGCCATGACTTGGGAGCCAACCTGGACCTCATGAGTCCATGTCTCAACAAAAAAATGAAACAATGGAACTGGAGAGATGTCACAGCGGTTAAGGGTACTGGCTGCTCTTGCAGAGGACCTGGGTTCAGTTCCCGGTAGTGACAAGGTGGGTCCTAATTACCCGTAACTCCAGTTCCAGAGAATCTGATACCCTCTTCTGGTCTCTGAGGGCACTGTACACACATGGTGCACAGATATACATACAGATAAACACTTCATACTCATAAAAAATAAAACATAAAGTAAAAGACTGGGCAGGCGTTGGTGACGAATGCCTTTAGTCCCAATACTCGGGAGGCTTATTCTTAATTATGAGTTCCTGGCCTTAGCCTGGCTTGTTTTTAACCAGCTTCTCTTCCTCCTCTCCTTGTTCTATCTTCTCATCTTGTTTCTCCTTCTGTGTATCCTTTCTGCTTGCCAGCCCTGCCTATCCTTGTTCCTGCCTCCCTATTTGCCGTTCAGCTCTATTAGGACCATCAGGTGTTTTAGACAGGCAAAGATAACAGCTTCGCTGGGTGTTGGTGACGCATGCCTTTAATCCCAGCACTTGGGAGGCAGAGGCAGGTGGATCTCTGTGAGTTTGAGACCAACCTGGTCTATAAGAGCTAGTTACCAGGACAGCCTCCAAAACCACAGAGAAACCCTGTCTCAAACTACGCCCCCCCCCCAAAAAAAAGAATAAATCTAACAATAACAAAATGCTACAAAAGAGCCCTGGCAGTTCAGTCCTGGATCATCTTTGTTCCTTTGACAGAAAAGTTTCTGATGCATTTGGTCACATAATAGGGTGGCCCAGGGACTAGTGTCTACCCAGTGTGCTCTGGAATACAGTCCTGATCCCTAGTCACAGCACATTCTCCGTTTGATTTTATTTATATATTTATTTTGTTTTTTGTGTTTTTGAGGCAGTTAATAGCCCTGACTGTCCTGGAACATGATTTATAGACCCTGCTAACCTTGAACTCTCTCTGTAGTGCTGGGATTAAAGGTGTTAAAGGACCTGACACCCATGGCATATATCGATGCATACAAAATAAAAATTAATGTAATTTGAAAAAGAATGCAAGCTGGGCGGTGGTAGCGCATGCCTTTATTCTCAGCACCTGGAGGCAGAGGCAGGTGGATCTCTGTGAATTTTAGACTGGCCTGGTCTCCAGAGCGAGTGCCAGGACAGGCTCCAAAGCCACAAAGAAACCCTGTCTCGAAAAACCAAAAAAAAGAAAGAAAGAAAGAAAGAAAGGAACAATAGGTATTAACCACCACTACCAGATCTATTTTTTGTACTGGGATTTGAATACTCTGCGATTGGGGGATTCTAGGCAGGGGCTCTACCACTGAGCTACCTTTATTTATTTATTTATTTATTTATTTATTGTTGTTTTGATTTTTCGAGACAGGGTTTCTCTGTGTAACAGCCCTGAGTGGTCTCAGACTCACAGAGATCCACCTGCCTCTGCCTCCCGAGTGCAGGGATTAAATATGTCTGATTGCCTGGTCTGGCTTGAACTTATCAAGGTGCCTAGGCTTTGTTTTGAATTCTGCTTTTTTTTTTTTTTTTTTTTTTTTTTTTTTTTTTTTTTTTTTTGCCACTTGTTCTACCTTGGTTTTAGTCCTGTACCTTGGTCTAGACCTAGGTATGACAGCTGGGCATTGGTGGTGCACGCCTTTAATTCTAGCACTTGGGAGGCAAAGACAGGCGGATCTCTTGAGTTTGAGGCCAGCCTGGTCTACAGAGGGAGTTCCAGAATAGCGAAAGCTGTTAACACAGAGAAACCCTGTCTCAAAAACAAAACAAAACCCAGCTGGGTATCACATCCCATACCCCTTGGACTAGACGCCCACTCCCAGCATGCTTTACACCAGGAATCTAGTTACAGTTTCAGCTCAGCCACACGGTGGCTCATTTGTCAAAGCGGCACTTGAGAGGCCGGAGGATTGCCAGGACTGCAGGAATGTGCACCACACCTGGCTTTGCTTGGCCTTTTATAGCCCACCCCTCCCCCCCACCTTGCAAGCTGACCATTTCATGTCTCTCTCTCTCTCCACAGTCCTGGGACCTCCTGACAGCCGCCTTATGACAGGAAAGACTGAAATGTGTCAAAGACCTGTGGTTTTTCCTCGATGTTCCTGCGGCCACCAAGTGAGGCCAGATGTCTCCCACCTATTTACCTGCCTCGGTTTCCCTTCTCCGCAGCTCAGACTGCAAGAAGATAAGCAGCCATCTTGCCAGCTGTTCCCAGTTGAATAAAAGTTAGACGAGGCAACTTGAGGGTGACGTGGTCAATTTTGGTCATAGGCCATCCAGCAGGGCACACTGTGTCTGCAGTCTTGAAGCAGGGAAATAGGGCTGGGGAGATGGCCCAGCAGGCAAAGGGGCTTGCTGCCTAGACTGACGGCTGAGTTCCGTCCTTGGGACCCATGAGGTGGAAGGAGAGAAGTAACCCTCCCAATTTGTCCTCGACCACCATTGCCTGCCTTGGCAAACACTCCTGAGAGTGCCCGCGCGCAGACACACAAAGTAAAAATGTAATAAGCAGGGTGAGCCTCATGCTCGGCTCACATAGTTGGAAGAGCCCCTGTTCAGGGAATGGTTCCACATATAGTCAGCTGGAGAGCCATCTCTCAGTGGTTAAGAGGACTGGCTTCTGTTTTCTAGAGGACCCTGGGTTCAGTTCCCAACACCCACATGGTGACCCACAGCCGTCTGTAACGCCAGGCACACACACACGACGCACATACATACACTCGGGCAAGACACCCAATCCAGCTGGGCGTTGGTAGCGCACATCTTTCATCCCAGCACTCGGGAAGCAGAGGCAAGCAGACCTCTGTGAGTTCGAGGCCAGCCTGCTCTACAGAGCGAGTGCCAGTATAGGCTCCAAAGCTACACAGGGAAACGCTGTCTTGAAAAAATAAAACAAGAATTTCTGCCTGGGGACTGGAGAGGGGCAGGTGGGATGTTGGGGGGGGTGGAGAGGGAGAAGGGATTGACGTCTGAAGCAAGCTTGTTCCTAATTTGAACTAATAAAAAAAGGGGGGGCGCTGGTAAGATGGTTCAGGGCTGCAAAGCCCCAGACCCAACATAAACTTAGAGAGAGCTGATGCCACAAAGTTGTCCTCTGACCTCCATGTGTGCCCTGGTTCCTATGAGCCCCTCCCCCCAATCTCTCTGTCTCTGTCTCCCCCCCCCCCCCCCTCCCCCCCCCCCCCCCGCCTCTCTCTCTCTCTCTCTCTCTCTCTCACACACACACACACACAGGATAAGCAAATAAAAATATTTTAAAAGGAGTACTCTGACCTTTGGGTTCCGTCCTCAGCACTGCAAATAATAAAACACTGCCAAATCTAAAAAGTAAAACCAAGGGACTCTCTGGCCCTCTGCCTCCGTCTGTAGCATCTCTTTTTTTCTCTGAGCTCATCTCAGGGTTTGTCAGGTCATATATACATTTTAAGAAAGCTGC